TACAGGACACAAAAATCTAATCAGAAATATACCATCACAGTTCCTGGTCACACGACGGGTGATGAATGTAGAAATGGATATTTCTTCTTTAAGACCCAGCAAATCGTCCTCAGTGATCTTGTCGATTTTTGGTCATTGAAAGTAATCGCCAACTAAGTTACCTACTACTCAAAAAGGAGTAGTATCTCCCAACACTAGTGTTATAAATCCACAAAACGGTTCCGGGACAGGGAAAGTTAGTTAGTACGAATAACGGATAGAGTATCGGTAAATTGGCATACATGTTTCATTTGCCACAATTCTTAAGAATTCCCACAAACACAGAACAGAATTACTGGAACGGTCCAACAATATATTTGCATTTTCTGTTGTTACAAAAGTAAATCCTTCAATCCACTGACCAACTCTGTGCGAATTCAGTAACCACTTTTCGTGTGGGCAAAATACTCACCTTTGTGAGTGGTATGTTTAGATCGCGTCGAATAATATGATCGGCGGTTTCTCTCAAGTTCAAAAATGAACAAGACGTCGCAGAACGAATAAGTGTGCTCAAAATTGTAACTAAAGAAAATGCACATCCACCGTCAGACTGTTGCATCAACTAGTCTGCGTGCTTGTCGGAATTATGATGATCTGTTCCAGGTGAGCAGTTTTGTTCTATGTAGTACTATTTACCCCTATCTGAGGCTGTTCTCCGAATAAATAACTCTGATCATCCGGGAACTGCCTTGTGAAATTATAACACTTGGATCCTGAGTTCGTGACTCCGATAAGAAACAGGCATACATTTCTAAACGTTTCGTTGTACGTACATCGTTGGCCCACCTGCGTCAGAGTCAAATTAATAAATAAATTATTTGGTGGTAAGCTACTTTCATTACTTTAGGCAACAAGCTTTGGCAAGTAGCAAAAACGGTGTTTGAGGGAATAGTACAGGTCGGAATAAAGGGAAAAAGGAAAGGGAAGGATAGGAAAGACAAAGAGCAGTAGCCCACTTATCACTACCCACCCCGCTCATTGTAATAGGTAGCGTGGTCCTGATTATCATACGCAGCAACCGATGCAGTATGGAATTGTTTTTGGTTTGTGTTCATTGGAGCTTTCGGGACGAGTGCTGCTAAGGTGCCCAGTCGCTAAGAAACATAACATACAGAGAAAATCAAGCATGAACTGAAAAGCTAGGAA